TTCTGATAGTGTTTTTTTTTTTTTTTTTTTTTTTTGAGTCAGGGTTTCTCTGTGTAGCTTTGTAGACCACCCTGGCCATGAACTCAGAGATCCACCTGCGTCTGCCTCCAGAGTGCTGGGATTAAAGGCGTGCATTCTGACATCAGATATGGATGTAGAATTTGGAGTTTCCCCAGCTGGTTTTTGGTCTTGCTTTGGCCCAATATTTCCTCACTATGTCCCTCTTTCTATATTTTGGAATGATAATGCATATCCTGTGCCACTATATGTTGCAAGTATGTGATTATAGTTAAGAGATTGCATGAATCTCAGAAGGGACTTAGAACTTTGGACTTTAAAACATTGTTGAGACTGTGATAGACTATGGGGACTTTTGAAGTCGGACTAAATGCATTTTGAATTATGATATTGTTACAAGCTTTTGGGGGCCAGGGAGTGGGATGTGGTAGTTTGAATGTAATTGGCCTCAATAATCTCATAGGGAATTTTTAAAATAGGTATGGCCTTGATGGAGGAAGTGTGTCACTGTGGAGGTGGGCTTTGAAATTTCCTATGCTCAGGATATTATCCAGTATCTCAGTCGACTTTCTGTTGCCTGCAAGATGAAGGACACAGAGCTATTACTATTCAAGCACTGCACGCCACCAAGCTCCCCATCATGATGATAATGGACTAAACCTATGAAACTGTAATCGAACCACCCCAATTAAATGTTTTCTTTATAACAGTTGCTGTGGTCATGGTATCTCTTCAGACCCATAAATATCATAACTAAGATACTCAGGATCAGCCCTTAATTGATTATCCAATACCAGTGGCCAGCCCTGCTTTTATTTTTTCAACGAGCATGTGTTCTTTTGTAACTGAATACAGCAGGAACAACAGGCATCCATGAAGACAAAATGTAGCAGACTGGACAAATCTGCCTCTTACACTGCTGAGCATAGGGACAGTGTTTCTCCCCATCCCAAGAGTTCTAAGCTAGAGGCCATACCACTAGATCTGGCACCTTCCTAGCTTGAAAAGAAATGGCCCAGAGTACCTAGACCCAGTTTCCAGATACTATGCTCCATTGAAAAAGTCTAAAGCTTCCCAAAGAACAAAGGTCACAAGAAACAGACTCAGACTAACTGTAACTTAGGAAATCATGAAGAATTTTTTGTTGGGGGCTGGAATGAGACAATAGGAAGACATCCTGACTAATCATATACTGTATACTACATCCAAGAAAAGGGTCAGATGTACCATTGGGTCTGCAACTTTAACAGTAAAGGTCCCTGCTCTCAGACAATACATGTAAACAATAATTTCTGGTCTTGAATGGAGTAGTGACACAAGCCTGTAACCTCTGCCTCACAATGTCAAGGCAGGAAGACTGATTCAAGTTCCAAGCCAGCCTTGGCCAGAGTGAGCCTGTCTTAAAAAAACAAACAAACACCCCTCCAGGCCCCCATACACACATGGACATTTCCTGGTCTTAATGTTTGCAGCTTGAAAGAAAGAGAGAAGCAAGACCATGGAGAAAGATAAATCAATTACGAGTAAATGTTACAAACTGGCAAAGCTAATGCATACATTCACTGAACTTTTATGTTTTCATTAAATTTAAAAGTTTAGAATGAAAAAGCTGAACAGAAACAGAGGAAGAATGGATAAGGGGTAGAGGGGAGGTGGGGGGAGACAATGCGGGGGAACTTCCATCAGGATGAAAAATAAATGAATAATTTAATAAAAAGAAAGTTTAGCAAACAAAGTATCTGTATATATGTCAATTGAGATGTAGCTAATCCACCTTTCTCCCCAACACCAATTTCTTAGCCCAGGCAGCTCTTGATTTCATAGCCTCCTGCCCTGTATTCACAGTGGGATGACCAGAGTACTGGGTATGACTGACAGGGCCTAGGTGGGGGCCTGCGGACATAGGAGGACAGAAGTAGGGGCAGCTGGAGGAGAATGCCCTGTCCCAGTAGAGGCTACCATCCCAGGGCTTCTGGCCCTGGGGAAACAGTCTGTTGTACACATTTACTCTCACTTTTGACAACTAAGAGGCCACATGATCCCCACCCTCATTTTTGGCGTCTATACACTCACTCGGCACCTCTTCCTGTCAGTGTATATTTCATTTTTGCTCCTTTTGCCGATCTAGTCACTCACCGCCCAGCACTCTCCCGTCCTCATCTGTCTGCTATTGGTTTGTCCCCCCTGCAGCCATTACAATATAGTTTCTCATGGTCACTGAGCAGGGACTGGCGAATGGGCCAGCAGCTTTCACACTGCTGGGATTCTTCAGTCTCTTCTGCTACTCCTCCTTTGCCTCTCTTGGCCTCTCCTCTCCCACCACTCACACATAAACAGCCACCTGTACCACAATTTCCCCTCAGCATAGACATCGTACTCTCCAGAACACACTGGAAATGACATAGCATTCTGCAGACATTCAGCAGTGGAGCTCTGTGACAGAGTCTGCTATTTTTGAATAGTCAATTCTACGTCATAGCCAGAGTATGGTGGTCAGCTGCCCATTGTTAGGACTGCAGGAATACAATACGGCACCCAGCAAGGGGGAGACTTGCCTCAAGCATCACCCATAGTCACTCATGCAACTATTCTGTCCCTAGAGATCTACCTGAGGTGTGTCCTATCCTCTGGCCTACCAGTGGATGCAAGAGTCTTCCTGATGCTTTCTTAGGTGTGACCTTGGCAAGGCCCCATGCTAGCTAAGGGCTCCCACCATTCCTCTCAAAATAAAGCATTACTTGTACAACCTAAGGACATGCTAGTCATGCACCTAGCATGATGGTTTCCAGTTAACATATGGGGACACTGATATTCCATTGCATGCATGCTTTTCAGAATCTATAGCCTAAGGCCAGGAATGGTAGCACACACCTTTAATCCCAGTCCTTGGGAGGCAGAAGTAGGTAGGTATCTGGGATTTCAAGTCTAGCCTGGTCTACATAGCAAGTTCCACGCCAACCAGACTTACATAGTAAAACTATTTCAAAACATACAAAGAACCTACAATCCATGAAGAACACACAAAAGCATATTCCAAACAATACAAACACCAGTGGATAGTTGTTTGGTTCTTTCAGTCAAGACCCATGTATTTTCAGAACATCTTGGGAGTATGTAACAACTACTCAAACATGTCAGAAAGCACTTTACCTTTACAGAGCTCTGTAAGCAGGAGGAACTCAGCCTGCCCAGTGTCCGATTCTTCTTTTCCTATGGATGCTGCAGAGCAGAACTGGACAATATTGGGATGGCCGGAAAGTTTTTTCTGCATGTCTTGTTAAAGAAGAATATGAACAAATAGGTCCAAAACTCTGTACACTTAAAAATAAACTTTCATAAGTGTTAAGAAGCCAAAGTCATGATACTCAAATTGCCTTATGCCTCAGCACATATGGGCATCTGAACAGAAAGTTGAGGGAGAGGCAAGTAAGGCAGTGTGAAGGTAAAAATGGTGGCAGGAAGCTAGTGGAAATGTTATATATGAGCAGGACTGAGAGACACACAGGAAGGTAGTCAGGAGTAACTGTGTCCACTTAAAACTCAGGCAGCCACTGGGGTATCAAATAGCACAGAGCCCAAAAAGAAAAGGAAACACATTCTATCTGTAGGCCTTATCATGTGGTAGAAGAGAATAGGCAAGAAAGGTCCTGTCGTATACCGTATGTACAGGCTGAGGAGTGCAAGCAGGGTGCACCCTGAGGCTCACCGATATGGTAGTATCCATATAGTTCATCCATACAGGTCAGAGAGGCAAAGTGGAACTCTCCTTGTGATAAGTGACCCAGCTGTTTGACATGGAGACCTCAAAGGCTGGAACAGCGACCCACTCTTCCCAACACCTAGGAAACTTCCACTTCAACTATGAGAATGAGTAACAAGAGAAAAATCCTTTGCATGAGAAATATTTATAGGAAATCTGGTAAAAGCAAAAGGCTGATTTTTAAACTTATCACAGGAGTCTCCTGGTAACTGTGTCAAGTCTGACACATTTAGTGATGGCAATAATAACTCTCAGTCCCAGGAAAAGGATACCAAGAAGCAAACTTCCTGAATGATGGCTCTGTTCTTTTCCTCTTCATTGGATAATAATCTCTGTCAGGGAATAGCACACAAGACAATTGAGGTCTGCTTACCTTCTGCTTAACAGATAAAACACCCTGGAGATTACAGGCAGTTTCTGAGGGACACTGAGTCTCAGGATAGTATACCATTTACCCGAATTTGGACATCTGATCCCACAGACGCTTAGAAGACTTGAATGACCTTTATACTCCAAAGAAAAAGTAAAAACAGGCTAGAGTAAAACAAGACAAACAAGAAGAAAGAGTATATACTCAGCAAAAATAGGCATACACTGTGGACTGCCAAAACCAGCTATGTCTAGTGGTCCACTGGCAATGCCCCACCCTTGCCTGTCAAAGCAGAGCTGGACCCACTATGTCTCAGGACAAAAAAATCAGAGCTGCCTAACTGGACATCAAGATCTAGAGATCCCTTCCTACCACATTACTTTAATCCTATTTACAGACATGCTATGAATGTAAATTTGATAAATGGTTTCTGAACTCTTCAAATTCCTGGCCCTTATTTTGACATGTGGAGCAGAGTGGATGAAATCCAGAGAGGGTCACTCCCACTCCTCCCTCCGAAATGGACCAGCTCCCCATGTACGACAGGAAGCTACCAAGAGCATTCTCAAAGTAAGCTGGAGTTGTAGGCATAAGAGCAAGCCCTGAGAACACGGAGGAGACAGGATTAACAGACTGAAACTGACCGATATGCATAGAATAACAGAGATGCATCCTTGAAAATAGCCCAAGACATGTTTACAATAAACTAAAATCTCCATAAAATGACCACACATTAGTTATTACCTTTAATGCATACTCTCTGCCACTTCCCAGATCCTGAGCTTCATAAACAAATGCGAACCCTCCTGAAAAAAAAAAAAAAAACTGTAAGTCAGTGCTGACTTAAACTTAGAAATAACTTTACTGAATAAAATACAAACCAAATTTTGGCTATGGATAGTAATTCCTTCCTACAAAAAACTGCAGCCCAATTTTTATGTCACAGCCTTTTACACCTTCTGCTCAGAGATAGGAAGGGAAAGTATAAGTCAGACCAGCAAATAAAAAGGAGCAGAAAATCTGCAAAACCAAAAGCAAGTACCCTGAAAATAAGTAAGTAAAACCGACGAATTCTATCTGGGTTATCAAACAACAAGGGAGGCTAATGCAAATAGAAAAAAAAGTCAACACCCAAAGGAAGAAAGTGGATTATGCTACCCTGACATACAAAGAGAAAAAAACTGATCAGTATCACTCATAAAGATGAATCTAAGAACTCAGTAAGTTTTCGATATTTTGGATTTTTAATACAGGGTCTTGCTATGTTGGCTCTGAATTTACATTCTCTACCTCAGCCTCCCCAATGCTTCATTTAAACAGACGGTCCCATCATAAAATTTAAAACTGAGGGCTGCAGAGATGGCTCAGAGCCTAAGAGCACTGGCTGCTCTTCTAGAGGTCCTGAGTTCAATTCTCAGCAACCACATGGTGGTTCACGACCATCTATAATGAGATCTGGTGCCCTCTTCTGACATGCAGGAGTATATGCATACAGAACACTGAATACATAATAAATAAATAAATCTTTTTAAAAAACAGAAAAAGAAAAAAATTTTAAATTGCCAGAAAATCAGGACTAGAAAGAAACTCCCCCAACTTTATAAAAAGAGTCACATAGGACCAACAGCAGCAGTGTTAGTGGTAAAATGATACTCAATATCAGGAGCCTTTTGCCAATGAAATCAGACGAGGAAAAGAAAAATAAAGGTCACCCAAAACACAAAAGTAAAGATTTTTTTTTTCAAGATGGTTAAATTAAAGCCTTTATAGTAAGTTGAAAATTAACATGATTGACAAATTATAAAGATGTTTCATTTGCAGAGTAAAGAGATCTTCCATGTAGCAAATCTGGTAAAATTTCAAAAAGAAAAGAATAGAGAGAAAAAGAAAGGAGGAAGGAAGGGAAGAGAAGAAGAAAGGGAAGACTGGCAAGATGGCTCAGTAGATAAAGGAACTTCCCACCAAGCCTGATACCCAAGCTCAATTCCCAGAATCTACACTGTGGAAGGAGAGAAGTGATTGCTGCAAGTCATTCTCTGATGACATTCTAGCTATGACATCCCCCCAGCTGCCCCCCCCAAAGAAAGAGAAGGAAGAAACAAGTGACTATAAGTAATTTAGGAAGGCTATAGGATACAAAAAAAGATACAAAAATCAGAGCCTGAAGAGATGGCTCAGCAGTTAAAGGCACTCTGGCTCTTGCAGAGCAGCCACATGGTTGGTCATAACCTTCCTTAATTCCAGTTCCTGGAAACTGGATGCCCTCTTCTCAGGTACCATGAATGCGCACAGTACATACATACAGTCATACACATAAAATAAATTTTAAAAAAATCAGTGAAGACTTAGAACAAATTCCAAGATGAATAGAAAGCTATCTGGCTTTATGGTTCTGCCTAGTTCACACTCCAGTATCAAATTAATAAAAACTATGACAACAAAGCATGGTGTACCATAAACTCCTCTATGACAAAACCTGACATAAACTGATAGGCACAATTTGCCTACAATGAGAATATTAATTCATTTACTTAGAGACATAGCAATATATTTGACTAAAGAAAGTTTTTCTCAACCCCTCTGGGAGCATCCCATGATACAAGCTCATGCCCTGAGTCATCTTTCAGAGCCTGAAGAATTGTGAAGCTGTCAAGACCTTCTTTGTATTCCTATAAGACAGCTTGAATCCCAATGTCCCATGTTCAGGAAACTCATTTAAATAATCTATGTAAAATATTACAGGCTTCTTACTGTCTCAATTCAGAAAAAAAAAACACTAAAATATCACATTAAGTCTAAAAGGAAGAAATCTATGGTTTACAATTACACTGGTTATTTTTATTCCTGTCTGGGCCAGAGAGCAGAGAGAATGAGCTGCTCTGCACAGACAGTGGCTGTCCACACTTCCTGGTTTTTCATCCTGGGTTCTGTGTGGCCTGGGTTAGCTTCCTACTTTATACAAATCTCCCCTTCTTGCCAATCAGGACCACCTCCCACCAGAGAGTGCCTCTTAACCCCCTGGCCAGGTGGGTATGGCCCACAGCTAACTTTGCTGGTCCCTTCTATAGAAGCAACCCTCCCAGCTACCCAGAATTCACATCACTGTACTACCCCACCCCAAGCTGCCTCTTCCTTCCAGTGTCTGAACATAAGTCTTAATTTTCCTTCCATATGAAAGGAAACCAGGTCTGCCTCTTCCTCTTCTTTGTTTGTGGATTGAACCAAGGGCCTCATACATGTTAAGTAGCCCTTTCCACAATTGTTTGTTTGTAGACAGGGTTTTTCTGTAGCTTTGGAGCCTGACCTGGAACTACAGAGATCCGCCTGCCTTAGCCTCCCAAGTGCTGGGATTAAAGGTGTGCACCACCACTGCCTGGCCCTTTTCACTTCCTGAGACATCGTCTTACTAACTTGTCCAGGTTGACCTTGAATTCTATCTAGCTCAGGCAGACCCTGAAGTTGGGATTTTCCTGCCTCAGACACCCTTCCTTGCTAGGATTATAGGCCTTTGACATCAGTCAGGGCTGAATTTCCTGAAAAATGAAGGTCACTGCCTGGTATCTTCAGAATGAACAAACTGATCTGGCATCATCTTTGTCATTCCAACAGATGAAAGAGTACATCACATATCATGCTGTTAGTGGAGGTACCAAATCCATCTCTGAAGGAGAAAGTGCCAGAAATCTTCTCACCAAATCACGTTCAAATCTGTTTATATCCACAGTGGAGAATATGTGTGACAAAGCTACTGCCAAAATTCCCTCTCTGCCCTTCCACAGTATACAACAATGAACAAATTCCCTGACCCACTAAGCACAAATGGCATGGACAACTTCAACAGGATGGTTCCCCAATACTGAGAGCTACTTTAGACTTGGTCAAGCCACTCTTCTCCCTGAAGCAATTTGGCAGAACATAATTATGTTTGGCAGGTAAACTTCACAGCTAAGGAGACCAGGCACACTCCAAGGTAATGATGGGAAAAAAGGCACAGTGGCTGAAGGAATGGCTCAGAAGTGAAGGGTATTTGATGCTCTTGCAAAGGAGAAGACCAGCATTAGATTCCCAGCATGCACACACAGAGGTTAACAACTGTCTACTCAGTTCTAGGAGAGTCAATCCCCTCTTCTGGCCTCAGCAGACAATACACACAGATGATGCCAGAGATACAGCGGGCACCCACACACACTTAAAAGAAAAGAGAGAGAGATCACAGAAGAGAGAATAGGTTCCACACATACCAATGCAAGGAACAGAAAGGATATTCAGGAAGCTACAAACTATACTGATTTCAAGACACATGTCTATGGCATTGTTTACCAAGCAAGGTTCTTAATGGTTTCAGCTGCTGGCTTTGCTTCCCGTAACTTTTAAGAGGTCACATACAGAAAGATCCAAGAGGTGAGGCAAACACTAAGCTATAAGAGAAAACGAGACTACAAGGCCCCACAATCTATCCTCTCCCTCACCAAGCAGGGGGGATTGTTTGGGACTGTAGAGTTTCCCAGAACTCTGCAGCGTAAGCACTGCCATCTCAAGACAGTCAGTCCCCTTGGTGCAATAGCAACCCGCGGTATGATACAAAGAATAATTAATTAGCTTATGACCCCAGAGTGACTGGGTTCACCTCCTGATTCCACCTTTCAACCTTTTGAACTTTTTTTATTCGCCCCAGTCACAGCCTTAGCCCCAGGCAGAGGTGGTCCCTCCAGTGCCAGGCCTCCTTTACAGGACAACCACCTGCTAGCATGACCCTAGTACTCACTCCACCCTCCAGGAAGTGTTTAATCCAGACGCAGCCTACCTTCAGCAATCATTGCCCAAGGCCCTTACCCACAGGACCCTGTGGTCACCCTTCCTTGCCAGGCCCCACCCCGACCTGACTCACACCCCAGCGGTGTCCCTACCCAGCTCAGCGCTGATCCTCATCCCAGCAGTGACTCTTCCCACTGGCCCTGCCGCGGCCCTGCTCTGACCCGCACCACAGTAGTGACTCTCCTGGGCCCAGACTTGATTCATGCGACCTTGGGCACGATCCTGTAGCTGCCCCTGCCCAAAGCGGCGACCCTGGCGAGCCCTGACTTGAGCCACATCCCAGCAGCGACCCTCCCTAGCTGCTGCTGCCTCCTGTGGCCGGGCCCCGCCCCACCTTCGGCTAGGCCCCGCCGCACCCGCAGACGCAGCTCGCCCAGCTCCACCGTCTGCCCCACGAAGTCGCTCTGGTCACGGCCCGCAGCTCCGCCAAGAGACCCGGGGCCCGCCAGGAAGTCCAGCGCAGACTGCAGCAGCGACATGGCGGCGGCCACTCGGCGAGCGGGAGCGGGAGCGGGAGCCGGCCTCCGGCTCCGCACTGCCGGCGGGTCAGCAGCTGCAGGAGAACCACCCGGCCATCTTCCGCCCGCGCCGTGACGTAAGCCCGACGCCACGGCCCCGCCCCGACGCGGCCGGCGGAAGGGCGCGCGTTTCCGCAGAGGCGGCAGCGTGCGCAGGCGCAGAGGCTGCAGCCCCACGGGTGCCCGGCTTCGAGGGGGCGCGGAGAGGGGCGGGCTCCATGTGGCCCTAGCCGCGTCCCGTCGTCGCTTCCGCTGGCTGGAGTTGCGACCGCTTTCGCCCGGTCCAGCTTCGGTGGCTGGGGCGTCTCGGGACGTTGGGCGCGCGCTGCGGACAGTCCCAGAGCCCGCCGCTCGCGCCTGACGCCTCCAGGTAAAAGCGAGGCCCGGAGCCCACCCTCGGGCCCCTGGATACCCGGTTGGGGAGAGCAGGTTATCAGTCAGACAAGCAGCCAGCCGACGTGATCCACAGACGCCGTTCTTACGGTTTGGCCTACACAGGCTTGGGGGGAGGATGAACTAGTTGGTAACATTAAAACGCTCATTTTGAAAGAGACAAGGCTTCACAACGTGTGTAGAAAAGTCAACCTGGCGGTACTGGACCCAGAATCCTGTGTGATGTCGACCACCTAGAACTGTCCGCTTCAGGTGAGACGAAGTCTTGGGACCCCCTTAGCCTCTGTGGTTCCTGAAGCCACAAGAGTTTGCTGCCCCTTGTGTTGAGTATTTGTTCTGGGACTGAGAAGTTGATCCTCAAAGCGCAAATCAACATCTTAACCTTCCCAGAATTATGTGTTATTAAAGATACCCCTGGGAACTACCTGCTCTCTTAAAAAGTCAAGTAGAAAAAAAAAAAAAAAAACGAGAGAGGATCACTAGCCACAGCGATGGAGGTGGTAAGTGAGCAGCGGTTTCATGAAAATGGTGAGATGGAAGCCATGGATCACACATGGAGGAATAAAGAGCTGATGAAGTAGAGATGGTACCTGGAGGTAACTGAGGAGGCTTGTGGAGCAGAGTGTGGGAGCTAAAAGGCAGCATGGTGTTGACATGTTCTTAGATGGGAGATTCGAGCAGCCCAAAGCCAATGGGAGTTAAGCCTTCCTGGTACCGCAGGGAAGAGTAATGTGACAGTCCAGTCACATCCAGATGTGGGATATTCAGTTTGGGCATGGAAAAGATACTTTTCTGTAAGAAAAACACTTCTAAGAGGCGGAGAAGAGGAAATAGGGTTTGCAGTTGCAGGTAACTTCATGTTTTTATTGAAGTGAAGTTGAAGGAATCTTTTGGTGGCTTCAGATCTCACTATATAGAAGGAAAAGAAATCTGAAAGCAAGAAAAAAAGTAGGGAACCCAAGCCTTAAGCAGTGTTCAAGAGACCAAAAGCAGCCATTATGAAAAACCTCATAAATAATTAGCTGGAATTTGAGGCCATAAACTCTTGTTGGTATGACCGAGGATAAGTGAAAATTTATTTTCTTTTAATTTTTTCCTTTTTTTTTTTTTTGAGATAGTTTCTTTGTGTAGCCCTTGCTATCCTGGAACTAGCTCTGCAGACCATGCCGGCCTGGAACTCACAGAGTTTCGACTGTCTATGCCTTCCGAGTGCTGGGATTAAAAGTGTGTGGTGCCACCATCCAGTGGTGGAAATTTCTGAATCCCATAATTTAGAAACCAGAGTCTTCTCAGACAAATTATTTCATAAATATAGATCACCTTTATGGCATTGTAGTAGATGCCATACTGAGGGTGTCTTAACCCATACTGCATCTTATGGTTTTCTCTTCTGATCTCAATTCTTGTATGAACACATACAAATATAAAAACTGAACCTATGCTCTTACTCCACCAACACATTCTCTTGTAGTAGATTTCATAGTAAAGGGTATTGCCAAAGAGTAAGAGAATTATTTTATAATGATGAAGGGATGAAGTCCTCAAAAGGATATATCAGGGCTGAAGAGGTGGCTTGGTGGTTTAGATTACTTGTGCTTGCATTGTGGCTGCTGGGAATTGAACCTGTGTCTTCTACAAGAGCAACAAGTGTTCTTAAAGACTGAGCCAACTCTTCAGTATCAGTTGTGTTCTTAGTAATATGGTAAAGTATGCATGCAAAAAAACCCCACTTTTTAAACATAAGACTTGCTATGTAACTTAGGCTATTCCCAAATTTGAACCTCCTTCCTCTAACCCCTTAATGATAAGATTATAAACATGGGTTCTTACACACACACACACACACACACACACACACACACACACACACACACACACGCCACCATTTTGTATGTGCTGTGAGCACATACATGTATGTACACCAGAAGTCAGCTCTGGATTTCTTTTATCATTCTCCATCTTTGTTTGTTGTTTAGATGCAGTATTTCTCACTGAACCTGGAAGTCATCACATTGCTACGTAGCTGGCCAGTGAACCACCAGGGTCCTCTGTTTTCAGGGCTGGGGTATAGGAGTGTGCTTCCACACCTGGGTTTTATATGGTGCTGAGGATCTGAATCCAGATCCTCATGCTTCCATAGCAAACACTTTAGTCACTTAGCCATCTTGCCTCCCTATTTTAGTCATTTTTAAGTGTACAGTGTAGTGGTACTAAGCACATTAACATTCTTGAACAGCCATCACCATTATCCATTTACAGAAAAATTCATCCTGTAAAACTGAAATTTTGTTCTCATTTAAACACTACTCCATTGTCCCAGCTTCTGGCCATTTTACTTTGTTTATGGATTTGACGGCTCCAGGGACCTCATTAAATGGAGTTTGATAACAATCCCTTCTAATTTGCACCTTCTGTGGCCTAATTCTTTGTAAGTCTATCTTATATCCTAAATAGTTAATAGAATCTCCTCTTTGTATCTTTTCTGGGGCTATTTGTAACCCCCATCTAGGCAGAACTTCCTTCACCATGTCAAACATATGTTCCAAAGTTTCCTTATTAGAATCCGATAAAAGGATATCATCCATATAATGATAAACAAGAGATTGTGGAAATTTTTTTTGCGAATTATTTCCAAAGGTTGTTGTACAAAGTGTTGACACAAAGTAGGACTATTTAGCATCCCCTGAGGGAAAGCTTTCCACTGGTATCTCTGAACTGGCTGTGAGTTATTAAGAGTTGGTACGGTAAATGCAAATTTCTCTCTATCACTTTCTTGTAATGGTATAGTGAAACAGCAGTCTTTCAGGTCAATTACTATGATCGGCCAT